GATACATTTCTTATGAAATATGAATTTATAATGAAGTTTTAATATATTTTGTGTATCATAATTCTATTTTTCATTAAAAAGACTTGAAAATATAATCATACGTAAAAACAAAAGTAAAGGTCTATGAAAACTAACCAAGTCTATAATTATAAGGATAAAAACTTTCCACATAATTCATTAACATGTGTCTTAGAAATTAATTACATATTTAATAAGTTTTATCTACCTATAGCTTACTTATTTCTATTGATATAAATGCATCATTTTTTCAAAATTTAGATTTTTTATTATTTGCTATAGTAGTGATTAATAAAAAAACATGAATTTTGATGCACTACTACTAATGCCCCCTTCCTTTAAAAATATTTCAAAGGTAATTAAACAGAAAAGTATTCAATAAAAAAATACTGAATATTTCTTTTAAAATTATATTAATTATGGTGTAATTATTCATAACTATAATATTAGTTACCCTTCTTTATGTAGTAGTCTAGTACTTTGGTCAAGACCAAGCAAACAAGATGGAATATCAGCAATGTGTAAATTACTATTTAATATTTCATGTTGTATGATCTGAAGAAATATATATTAATTAATAAGAATAATAAATAAATATTATAAATTAAAACCTACTGGATCAATATCTATATCACTGGATGAATATACTTTTCGTGTTTTAGCTATTATTTCTTCAACAAATTCTTTAGCTTCAATATCAACAGGATCCCATGTGGGATTACGTACTGAGAAATTAAGTAAAGACATTTCTACTTTTCCATCTTCAGCTTGATCTACCTGTGGTAACTTTGATAATGGATTGTCTGTAGTGATAAACCCAGGAGATCGCCAAGCAGGATTACCATTTTTACGTAAATTCATCATAGAGAATGCACAAACATCACCAACACCTGCTACATCAGCAGTATAATTACGATAAAAATCTACAATTTCTAGGGCTTTAGGTCGTAGCCAAAAATATAATATAAATGGTGTGACTAATGGCGAGATCAGTTCATTTATTAAATAGTTCTGTAAAATAATGAAATTTTTATGTCAAGAAATAAGATATATTAGTCTAAAACTAAAAATTAACATACAGCTTTAAAAGGAAAAATCTGAGAGAATTGATTGCTAACTTGCTGAGTATGAGCTTTGCCAACCCATGAGTCTGGTAAATAATGAACCTCGGCTAACACAGCTGTCAATAATGATTCTTGACATACTATTTCTTTTTCATCATCAACAAGACCTCTGTTAATGATTTTAAATAATTTTAATTTTACATATTTGTCAAAAAAAATAATAATAATAATATAAAATAATCATTACTAACCGACATATTATAAATAAGAGTGATAATCCACTTAATATAGTTATCATATGTTCAATTGTTAAAATGCTGTCATCATATACAGTTAACACTAGTATTGGTACCATAATAGCACTCGTAAAAAACATAGTATTCCTAGAAAAAAAAATATTCAA